CGCTCCAGCACCCCCGACAAGGCCGGGACAGCCACGCTTTGGGGTAAGTGCGGACGGGCTGCTGGCGCGTCCGCCGGGGGAGGACGGCCTGGAGGACACGGCCCCCAACTCCCTGCCTCTCCCTTCCAGGCTGTGAGTTAAACCAGGAGAAGCGGACCTGGACCTTCAAGCCGCAGAAGGAGGGCAAGCAGGACTGTAAGGTGTTGCTCAATACGGTGGGTGCCCCCTCCCCCACCCCAAGGCGGGGAGGAGGGACTCAAACCACTAGAGAGGAGCGGGGAGTCGGATCCCTACAGAGGCAACAAGGTTTCCCCCCCTCTGCCCTCGGGTGACGAGGTGCCCGCCTGTTGTCCACCCGCTCAGATTTGCCTGGGGGAGAAAGTCAAAGAGGAGATGAACCTCGTGGAGATCCTGCCCCCAGCAAGCCAGGAGGACAAGAGGACGAAGCCCATCATCGTCGCCTCGCTGCAGGCCTCTGTGCTGCCCATGGTGAGTCTCGCCTGCAGGCGCGGGGACACTGCTGCTCAGCTCACTCGGGGTGGGCGTCCTGCCACAGCGTCGCCATGCTAGAGAGGGGGTGCGCCCATGACCAAAAGCCTGAACTCATCCTGCTTCCACCCCAGCCCACCTTTACTAGCTGCGGATGGTGGCTAAATAGCTTCTCTTCTAAATCACATACTTTAACTGCTTACTGATGGTGTCAGGACTCTGTTGATGACTTACCTATTGATTGTGTATCCAGAAATTCTCTCATTTCTAATCATTTATCTTGTGTTTTCTATGCAAATCGTCATTGTGAATAATGGCAGTTTTTGTGTCCCTTCTTAAAATCCTGCTACACTGGTTAGGACCTCCAGTACCATATCAGATAAAATGATAGTGGTAGACACCCTTGTTTCATTCTTGGTTTCTTTCTAAAGAAATGCTTCTAAAGTTTCTCCATTAGGTCTATCAGGTCCGGTAGACACCCTTTGTCAGCTTCAGGAAGTCCCATCCCTTCCCGCTCTGCGTTTAAAATTAGGTTTTCTTCTTTTTAATCAAGAGTGGTTATCAAACACTTTTCTACTCAGATGATCTTGGGTTCTTTTCTTCTTTAATCTGCTAAGTGGTAAGTTATATTAATAGAATAATATTATATTAATGGAATAATATTCAGCCAACTTTGCATTCCTGATATAAATACAATTTGATCATATTATAAACGGCTAGATCAGCTTTCATCTGCTAAGTGGTAAGTTATATTAATAGAATAATATTCAGCCAACTTTGCATTCCTGAGATAAATACAATTTGATCATATTATAAACGGCTAGATCTACTTTGTAAGACTTTTTTTAAAAAAATGTATATATTCATAAGTGAGGTTGGCCTATGAATTCCTTATCTGGGTTCCAAGGCCTGCTGGCCTCATGAGCTGGGGGTGGAGTGTGCTCTTCTGTGTGGTGGGACAGTGAGTATAAGACTAGGATTATCCGTCCTTGACAATCTGGGAGACTGTCCTTGTAAACCTGCCCTCAAACCGTTTTTTTTCCCTCCCTCTGAGATCTCCCGAGATCTCATTCGTTCCCATGGTTTTAAAGACCATCTGTTCAAAATGAATACTCTGAAATTTATTTTTATAAACCCAACCTCTGAATATATTCAGGAGATATCTAAGAGATATCCCAAACATAACAAATCTAAATCCAGATTCTTGATTTTTACCTATAAGCTCTTTCCCTACCCCAACCGATCCTCTCCCAGGGCATGGTTCCTCAGTCGTCAGGAACTATGTAATCCCCCAAGTCTGATCCACCAGCAAATCCTGTTGGCTCCACCTTCCCCAGTCTGACCACATCCCACCCCCCTGCTATACCTGGTCCAGGGGACCATCTCTTCTTGCTCAGTTTTATTGCAGGGACTCCTCAGTGGCCTACCCTTTGTCCCCTATAGTCTAGTCCAGGGGTTGACAAACTACAAGGTGAAATCCAGCCTACTGCCTGTTTTTGTAAAGTTTTGTTGAAACACAGCTAATCCTCCTTCATTTACATATTATTCATGGCTGTTTACATGCAGTAACAGCAGGGTTGAGTATTCTCCACAGACCATAGGGTTTACAAACTAAAATATTTACCATCTAGCCCTTTCCGGATGTTTCCCAACCTTCTATGCACGGCTGCCAGCAAGATTCTTTTATTTTTATTTTTTATTTTTTTAAAAGCTTACTTTGTTTTTATTGTTGAGAGTATTACAGGTGTCCCTTTTTATGCCTTTCACCCCT